TACAGCTTAGAAACATACCGGGTGACCGTAGGTTAGATAAACACACGCACACAGTCACAGAGACACGGCGATATGTCTCCCGCCGAAAGAACATAATATAAGCAACACGAGAACAGAGCACGTACAGCCCTATTGCAGGATTTATACTACATTGGTATATTGTATTTAATTAAAATATCCGTGATATAACCTTAACTTGGGCAGCTGCACCTGAGTGTATATCCATGCCACGGTCCGACCTTTACAATAGAGGTGCGACTATCGCGGGAGCCTACTGCAACCGAACCAGATGTTTAGGATGCATGTAGGACATACGCACACACAGTTACTCTGAGCCAATCCCCACTACCAATGGCTTGGCTAACATATAAACCCAAGACACACCAACACACAACACTCAGCACTTGCAATCCAGACACACTCACCTGGGCAGCCGACCCCACGTCTATGTCCATACCACTGACATCCATACTGGATAGAGGCATGACCGTGGATAGGGCCTCTTGCACTGCGATGAGGTACTTTGGGTTCATGGAGGCTACCAGAACGGATAGTTCCTCTAAGTCCAGCCCGTTGTAGGGATCAAAGACTGTCTTCACCTTCTCCAAGCTGTGGAGTGTGTTTGTATGGGCAAATAGTGAGCGTGAATAAGTGAGTGGATGGTTGTACCTACATACTGAATCAGATATACATACAATACGCGAGGTTAAGATAAACGGGTTGGGTGTGGTAACGTAAGCGGGGACGGGAGATTGTGGGTGGGTGAGTGTTGATACAAACCCCCTGCTTCTACTGTATCTACATTGGTACAAAAAGGTCCTCTACGTCTGAGTCATCATTAGGACTGAGGGCAGACTTGACCTGCAACAGGCTCTGTGGAGTGCCAATGCGGAGCGAATGTGTACGTGAAATGGTGATTGGCAGTGGTTTGTGTGCACTACTTCTATTCTATATACACACCACCAGACAATAGGTACGAGTGTAGGTACATGTACTATAGATACAAAGACACCCAATGCACACCCCACACACCCTTCATTGGCCACCGCAAAAGCCTTAGACGCGCCCTGGTTGATGTTCTTGATAGCGTCCTTGTAAGCTTCGCTCTCCTGTGCTGTGTGTACAGCCTCAGAGACAGCCTTAGACGCTGAGCTCCACATACCCCACATACTGGCTACCAGGTCTGGTTCTCCGCTGTCCCCAGTTTTGGGTGCAACCGGTCCTGTTTCTTGCAACGGGGCAGGACTGCAGGAGACAAAAACCCACGGGTTGGGTATGGGAGTATATGGTTGAGTTAGTTGATATATGCTTGGTCTAATCGATACATGTACTGATGTGCTACAACAGACTGTGTGTGTGTCATA